GAGCTCTAAAATTACCCTTCTCTTGCAGCCACCTGCACTCTTGAAACATCTGCTGAATCTTTTGGTTCAGATGCTTGCTTCTCTTTGAAACCACACTAACCATGACATCATCCAACAAAAGCTGTGCGACACAATCAAGGCACCTTGAAAAGAAAAGAAAAATATTTTATTTTGCAGATGGTGAAAAGTTGCAATCAGCCAGCACAAAGCAAGGACAATGATATCGTCAGTGTAAGACGAGTCTCCATTGTTGCATTTATGTCTTAGGAAAGTTTAACATCCTGTAATGGCATTTTTTTAAAAAGCCAATATCTATTCCACATAGAAAAGTAGATCTCAGGGAAGAAATTAGACTACAATCCCTTCCCCCAAGATTAGACTTTCTATCTGGCTGTTATTGTTTATAGGGAGAAATATTCATGTCATATGAGCCCATACCTTCAGAAAGTGTACCATTCCTCTACCCTGTGAATGTCACCATTTTGTTAATTTCTGTTGACCCTCTATTCTATCCTCTAGAATACAATCCAATTCCCAAAGCTGTAGAATGCATACCAAGTTCCAGATCTAATTTCTTTTATAACAACTCTGCAAATTCCTGAGCAAACATGACCATGGCTAGGGGATTTGGAGAGTTGCAGTACAAGAGGTAACATTTCTAATTTCTGTACTGTCCCATGTAACAATGCTGAAGTTTCATCACAAGCTAACAATAGTGAAGGTTTGGACTACACATAAATAAGCAGACTATCAAATAAATATACATGGCAGTTGGTTAGCTGTGGTACTTGTTTGGTTTCATTCATCAGGATGAAGCATCTATCTGTGAGCAAATGAAATTGAGTGCATTGCTGAGGCTGGTAGCTGTACTTTTCCAGTTCCTAATGGAAATGATAATCAATCAGATGCTAGCACAGTAAAGGTGGAAAAGCATTTGGATAATTAAAGAGACCTGCGGTCTCTAAAGGAAGAAGTAGCGTCTCTTTGTACTTCTGACTGCAGAGTTTATGTGCTTATATCTACCTTAAAGATATTTATTGGCTATGTCCCGGTTCAACTGTAATGGCTTCTAAAATACTCATAGAGAATGTTGCTTGGTGAGAACACTGGCAGTTTCTGATTTAGAAGTAGACAACCTGGTGTCATCTGGAGATTTTGGACTACATAAGCTGTGGCTAGCATGGCCAGAGGTCAGAGTTCTGGGAATTGTAGTAAAAACTGAAGTTGACTAATCTTGGCTTTTGCTCTAACAGAATCATTGATTTCATGGCTCTCTGTGAGGAGGTGATGGATGGGGATATGTAATGACTTATGCAACAGTTTAATTCCATAGTGTACAGATTCTTATCTGAATGCTGAAAGAACCAGTTACTATTTATGACATTGCTTACATGTGTTGTGTTCCCCCATGCTCATTCTCCTGAAGATTAGTGGTAGTTAGTCAACTAGCTTTGCTCTTCTACTGCTATTTTGAGTGTTGGGTGTTGTTGCTTTGCCTTCACAAACTTTGAATCTAGTCAACAACAAGGTTATCTGCACAATTCAAAACCGTAGCCATGTAAATCTGGAATATCAGCATGCATAAGGATCTTGTAGCGCCTTTGAAACTAAAGAAGTTGTAGCATAAGCTTTTGTAGACTTAGACCTAAAACACATGGGCCAAATGACATGGATTCTGGCTGTGTTCAGGGCACAGCGTTTAGATGACACACACTCCAAATACTGTCGGAAGCTGTGCCGAGCCTGCGTCATCCAGAAAGAACTCAGCCAAGAAGGACCAGGTAGAATCTTATCCTTTTCTTGGCCCAGTTCAGGACTGCAGTGGCAGCCTGGATCAGGACCTAGTGCATGTGGTTGCTGTGGTCCTGGGGCAAACAGCGCTGGTGCAGCCTTGTGCTGGTCTATTTGGCCCATCTGTTTTGGGCCTAAGTCTACTTCTTCAGATGTGTGGAGAAAATATCTGTTTCCATACTAAGATTGTTTGCAGTCATCCTGTGCTCACAGAATTCATTGGGAGGGACTGGATGCTTTGCATGCAGAAGGTCCCAGGGATAATTGATGGCAACACAAAGTGGTTTCTTTTTCTTTGAACATGAGATGACGAGGGGACCTTTCTTTGCATGCGACTGTGGAGAGAAGCTGCCAATCAGAGTAGACTGATGGATTAGACCAGGGGTAGGCAACCTTTCCCCTTTAAGGGCCGAGGGACTTCAGCTCCCAGAATCCCAGGAGCTATTGGCCAACATGGGACTATTGGCCAACATGGCTGAGGCTTCTGGGAGCGGAGGTCCCTCGGCCCTTAAAGGGAAAGGTTGCCTACCCCTGGGTTAGACAGACAAAATCTGATCTGAAATAAAGAGGTTTTGTATTTACCATAACTTCCATAACTTTTCCTAACAAAATAAAGGAAGCCTGCTAATTGGATCATTTCTGATAACCTAGTTAGCATCTCATTGATGCAACGAGTGATCGCTTTGGAGGGAGGATTTCTGACTGAATCCCAGACAGACTGAATCTATCCAGCCTTTGAATGCAGGCCCAATTCACACAAGCACTGAGTGACCACTCCCATTAATTTAAAAAAAAAATCCAAAGTTTGAGAAGTTTACTTTTGGGACTATGTGTATTTGCCTTCAAGTCACCTTTTGACTTATGGTAACATGAACAATTTCTTAAGGTTTTCTTAGGCAAGGAATACTGCACAACTCTCCAAAAACTCCCTAGTCAAATCTGCCACTAGGCATTCTTTGACTTCTATGTCTGAAAAATAACATTCTCAAGTTCTTATATGCCAATTGAATAGTGTCGTGAGCACATAGTGTAATTTCATAGAATCATAGAATCATAGTGTTGGAAGAGGCCACAAGGGCCATTCAGTGCAACTTTCTGTCATGCAGAAATACACGATCAAAACCATCCAGCCTCTGTTTAAAAACCTCCAAAGAAAAAGATTCCACCACACTTTGTGGCAGCATATTCCATTGTTGAGCTGGAAATTCTTCTGAATATTTAGGTGGACTCTCTTTTCCTGTAGTTTGAATCCATTGCTCCATGTTCTAGTCTCTGGAATTGCAGAAAACAATTGGATGCACTCTCAATATGTCACCTTTTAACCTTTTCTTCTCCAGATTAAACATACCCAGCTCCCTAATTTCCCATGTCTACATTTAATTAGCTATAGGAAGATTTGTGGCTCTGTATCAATCTGTGCTGTGCTTATGAGGTGGAAAGCTTTTAGATCAAAATACAAGCAAAAAAGTGTGCATAACACACACAAACGGAGGAATATGTACATACAGAGTTTGGTGGGTCCCGTATCACTGGAATGGTGAATTCACTCCAGGTTGTAGTAGGGATGTTATCCAAGTTGCTGACCCCATGGTGGGGGGTATATCCAGCACCTTGGATAAATCTCATAATGTTCAGGCTTAAACCTGGAGTGAATTAACTTCTCCACTGGCACGGAAGCTGCCCAGTGGTGTCACCAGGCTTGGTGTCATCCAGTCGAGTAACTCATGGTGTCACCCCATGGACCTTCTTCTGGACCAGAGTATACAGAATCCTTAGTAATATTTCTCACAGGATGGCTGTGAAGGCTACCCTGCAAATGAAGTCCCACCCCCTATGAAGATGACACTGTGTGTGTGTGTGTGTGTGTGTGTGTGTGTGTGTGTGTTTAAAAAGGGTAACCATCAGGGTTAGTTCCCTCCCCCCCATTCACACCCCTTCCCCTAAGGCTGAGATTGTGTGACTTGCTTAAGATTTCCATGGCTGAGTGGGGATTTGAACCCTGGTCTCCAGAGTCATAGTTCAATGCTCAGTTTGAACTTTGATTTCTTTTCCTCCTCCCTCCCTCCCTTCCTGGTTATAGCTGCACAAACATTTTATAGACAGACATTTTGGTGTCACTCCCTTTGATGGTGTCACCCAATGCAGTCTGTATCCCCTGCACCCCCTTAGTGACACTGCTGAAGCCACCACAGGCCTTTGGAAGTGCACTGGCTCTCAAACACTTTATCTCTGCCACCACTACCCCCATCTGATTTCCCCTTCATGAATTATCTCTATGCCCTAATATCAAAGTTTAAATTGCAAATGCTTTGGGGCAGAGATCTTTTTTTGCCTATGTCTTTTTATTCTTAATTATTTATTTATTCCAGTCTTTTTATCTTCTGATGAACTCATACATATTATAATGAATCTTAGGGATTAGTGATATACGGGAAAAATGTCTGCTCTTCCCGTACTTGTTTAAAGTATGTGTTGGTGTAAGTTAATGATACTCTTTCTGGTTTAAAACTGAGAGTCTGGTTTACTTCCAATGATGTGATTTGGAAAATGGAATTGCTCTGCTTTCTCAGATCATATTGTGGCTGCAATATCCTATTTCAGAAGTGTCATCACTTTCCTTTTCTTACATTCTGATGTAGTCTGTAATCAGCACTAGCTCCAGCTCTTCTCATTACTAGCTCTTGAAATGATTGTTCAGACTCAGCAAGTACAGTCTCAGCATTAGATGACAGCATCTGCTTCCTCCAATTTCAGTTTTGTCTCTGGAACCAACACAACCATCACCACGCACATTTGCATTTTTTGAGTTTTCACAGAGCTGAGGTGATCTACAGCAGGAATGAGCTGGAACCAGGTGTCTTTTAAAAAGCATATTCTAAGGTGCTACCTTTAATAAACGTTTAAGATATATTCCTTTGTTGATGCTGATATACACTGCTAGGTCTCATTTCATGGATCCATAGATACCACAAAGGAACACAGAAGACACCATATTAGGTCTGACTCACAATATAAACAGCAAAAAATAAAAAGCAGTTCTATGTTATAGACTGTTGTTGTGTGACTGTAAGTCACTTTTGGCTTATGGTGACATAAGGCAAATCTATCATAGGGTTTTCTTAAGAAGATTTGTTCAGAAGAGGTTTGCCATTGCCCTCCCCTAAGGTTGACAGTGTGTGACTTGCTTAAGGTCACTCAGTGGGTTCCCACGCCTGAGAGGGGATTTGAACCCTGGTCTCTAGAGTCATAGTTCAATACGTGAACCACTATGCCATGCTGGCTCTGTTATTATAGACTCTAGAAGAATCAATATCATATGAATTGTAACTGGGATGATAATGGACTAGGAGGATTTAGGAGATCCAGGTTCTAGCCTTTGCCAAGCAAGGAAAACTCACATGGGGCCCATTCACATTACACAAATGAAGATCTATAGCACATTATGGACTCCTAGGGTTTGTAGTTCAGTGAGGGGCTGGAGTGCTCTTTGGCCGAGAATTGTGAATTTTGTTGTTAACTGCTCTCGAGTCGATCTTGATCCATGGTGACCCAGTGGATGAGACACCTCCAAGACCCCTGTCCTCCACTACTCTGCTTAGTTCCTGTACACTCATATCCGTGACCTCCTTAATAAAGTCCATCTATCTAGCATACGACCTTCCTCTCTTTCTACTTCCCTCCACCTTTTCATCATAGTTTTTTCCAGTGAATTGTGTCTTCTCATGATGTGCCCAAAATACGCCAGGTCAAGTTTTGTCATCCTCGCTTTCAAATAGATTTTGTGCTCAACTGTATATCTTTGCATTTTAGCATCTTTTCTAGTTCTTTCATTCCCCCTGCCCCCCATTCTTAGTCTTCTTCTGATTTCCTGACTGCAGTCCCCATTTCTATCAATGTCTGATCCCAGGTATAAGAATTCTTTTACTATTTCCATTTCTTCATTGTTTAGGTTTTATTTGGCTTGATTCTCCATGGTCAGTTGTGAATAGCTCTTGCTAAACTACCAATCTATGGGATGTTGCCATGGCAGTTAAAGCTGAATATAGAGCTATAATTGTGTAGGACAAATTCTCTTTCAGCCTGATCTACCTCACAGGGTTATTTGTGAGAAAAAAGAGGGCCAGAAGAGTTGAGTATGTCATCTCGAGCTCAGTGGAAGAAAAGGTGAGATAAAAGCATGCAACTAATAAGTAATAAAATATTTTTCACCATGTCAATCACATATAGAAAAATGTGGAGCCCATTTCAATTGATACTTTAGCAGAAGGAAATTGGAAAGCGTGTAACTAATAAATAATAAAATGCAGGTTGAGTCTCACTTATCTGAAATGCTTGGGACCAGAAGTGTTTTGGACTTCAGTGTATTTTAGATTTTGCAATATTTGCATGGACATAATGAGATATGTTGGAGATAGGACCCAAATCTAAACATGAAATTCATTTATGTCTCATGTACACCTCACACATATAGCCTGAGGGTAATTTTATGTGTAGGGTTTTAAATAAATTTGTGCATGAAACAAAGTTTGCATACATAACTGTGTTGCGTTATATTATCAGACCATTGTATGAATGCTACAATTCTGGTATGAAGAGAAAAGCGAGGATTGTGTTATTAAATTCAACTTCCTGGGATATCAGCTTTCACTTCTAAGAGCATGTCTCTAGCCTCTGTGGGATATATACTTGAAAGAGTGTGGCTGATACCTGCTGAAATCTCAGAAGCTAAATAAGTGGCTGAGTAGGATTTCCATGGGTTGAAGGCCAAGCAGAATAGGCAACAGTGTTGATGAGCAAATTGGTGTTACCCTATATGGCTCTCTCCCTTTTAATATCAAGAAATATTGTGAGATTCACCTCTCCATGACCCTACATGTGGAAACCATGAACCTCAAGCTAGAGATCACGTTGGCCAGCTTAGGAGTCACCAGAAGGATGTCACTCACCCACACCTCTCAAGGGAGATGAGGAAAGCCTATGAAGGGACAATACACTAGTTTCTATGGAATATTTGTTCTTGTCTATCAGGTCCTGCAAGCTATCTAAAACAGGAATCTGTCCATTTGCATTCCAATTCTCACCTTGGAAGTCTCCACCCAGAAGGATTACCTGGAACAATTCAGATTATTGGTCACAGGACACCTGGAACTTTGCCCCAGGCTTGAAATTCCCTATTTAAACCCCAGTTTTTCTATGCTAAGTGGGCTAGTTTGGTTTGCTGGGAGAAACTCTACCGATTTTTCCTTTGCTACTCTCCTCTGTCACTCACCAACCTGTGTTGGCTGGAAGTGACTGAGTCCTAGAACCCATCTCCAGAACCTTCAAGAGGAGCAACAGCCTTTAGGTATTTTCCATTAGAAAGTCTACTTCTAATGACTTTATTTCTCAGCTTCTTGTGTGCTTATGTGAGAATGTGTGAATCCTTTATTAATTTTTAAAAATAAAATATAGTTAATAGAAGATTTTGCCTCTGCAGTTCTTTGCCTCTGACCTCTGTAAACATAGAGACAAGATTCCAAGGCTGATGTAATCCAGCCCATAATTGAGCTAATTTAATATTCCTCAAAGTTCTTGGTTACATTGGCAAAGTTCCATCCAGTGGCCACCACATTGGCAGGCCATGTTGGAGAACGTCAGACCAAACAGGTGACATGCCCCGTGTAGCTCTTTCATAGAATCATAGAATCGTAGGATCACAAATCATAGAGTTGGAAGAAACCTCAAGGGTCATCCAATCCAACCCCCTGCCATGCAGGAACACACAATCAAAGCACCCCCAACAGATGGCCATCCAGCCTCTGTTTAAAAACCTCCAAAGAAGGAGGCTCCACCACACTCCAGAGGGAGTGTGCTCCACTGCTGAATAGCTTACTGTCAGAAAGTTCTTCCTAATGTTGAGCTGGAATCTCTTTTCCTGTTTAAAAACCTCCAAAGGTTGTGGATGAGCTTGTGTATTGTGGAAGAAAGGAGAGAAGAGGTCAAACTGGAAAAAGAGGCGGCACTGGAGAAACTGAAGGCTTTAATGCAACAAGGTATTCCAGCTGCTTTTTAAAGAGAAAAAAATAATGTCACAAAGATTACAATGAAAATAATTGGTTTGGAGCAAAGAATCAAAATGTTATACATGCCTGAGAGAAATAGGGATCAGTCAGCCCTCTGTATCCATGTATTCTTTATCTATAGATTCAAGCATCCACAGCGCGAACATATTTTAAAAAACATAAATTCCAAAATGTAACCCTTGAGTTTGCTATTTGATAAAAGGGATATCATTTTACTATCTATTGTATTTAATGGGACTTGAATATCCACGGAGTTTGGTATCCACAGGGAGTGCTGGAACCAAAAACCCAGTGGATACCAAGGGCCCATTGTAGATAAAATATGAGGATTTTCAGCAACCTGCAGGCAAGTGCAAATTTATGCTTATTGCCGTTAATGTATGCTCAGCACTATATCTATTAAATTTGGTGGGAATTCATTTGTATTCTCATAGAATTAGTTGGGGGTTTTTTGTGGGTTTTTCGGGCTTTGTGGCCATGTTCTAGAAGAGTTTCTTTCTGACATTTCGCCAGCATCTGTGGCTGGCATCTTCAGAGAAATTAGTTGACTTACTCTCAAGTAAGCAGGTGTAGGCTTGCAGCTAGGCAGCACAATCTTTTTGTTTTGTGCATTTCCCACTAATGTTTGTGATTTGTATTTTTGGGGGGGTGAAAAATGCATTTGTGACAAAACTTGGTAGAGAATCAATGCATTTTTCACAAACCCATTTTGTAAAAAAGAAAAGAAAAGAAAAGGAAAAAAACAAAACAAAACCCTCTCACAGGAATTTGCCAAAAAACCTCAGAGAGATTAATCATTTTCTGAATGAGGTGCCTCAGCTTGTTGCCATTGCTGTTATTTGCCATCAAGTTATTTTCAGTTTATGTTAAAGCTATGAATGAGAGTCTTCTAGGAACTTTGGTCCTCAACTGCCCTGCTCCGTCCATGCAAACCTACGACCATGGCTTCCTTGGTTGAATCAGTTCACCTGTAAGTGCAGTCTTTCTCTTTTCCTACTTTCCACTTTGCCAGATATTTTTGTTTTTTCTAACATAGGGGTGAAACAGACCGGTAGCTTCAGCCGGCTTCAGGGCAGTGGATGTGTGTGTGATGTTTGTATGCCACATGTCCTGATGCTGCCCCTAAGCCGGCGTCATGCTGCACACCCAACCACATGGTGGGCAGCGTTGTGGCACTCCAGCAGTGGGGTGTTTATACTCTGAATGGTGGAGTGAGTTGATATGCCGCAGGAGCGCCAAAAAGCCACTGCCATAGTGGAAAAGCCACCTTTTTGCCACTGCAAAAAGGAGTGGCTTTCTGCAGCAAAACACTGGAGTGGGGCTGCAACATGCAGTTGCTTTTTCAGGGGCAGAATCAAGCCGCACCTTTGGGGTGGTCTGTTTCACCCCATAGTCACATGATGTTCAAAGTGATCTTGTAGCACCTTTGAGACTAACTGAATGAAAGAAGCTGTAGCATAAACTTCCATAGAACTGGTCTACTTCCTCAGATGCATGGAGTGAACTAGTGCCCGGGAAGGATTTTAGAATCAGATTGTATGAATAACCACAGAAATGCCAAATATGTGAGTATGATGATAACTATAGTCGATGAGAGACAAAGGCATGAGGAAAGATGTTGCCTATGGCAAGAGTGTGTGGATGACCATATGAATGGTGAAGGGAATTTTCAAATGTGATATGTCAGGTTGAGAACCAGAAAGAAGATATGATATATTGGCCAAGAGCATCCTCATGAGCAGGGGTAGGCAACCTTTTTGGGTTGCTGTCCCTCAGACAATTGGAGGGCCGAAGGACCAAAAATAAACAAACAAACAAACAAATAAATAAATAAATAAATAAATAAAAATAATAAATAAATAAATATGCATGCACACTCTCTCAGCCCCAGAAAAGCCATGGCAAAATCCCTGTTGAGATTTTGCCAAGAAAACCTCAAGAACAAGTAATAACAACAATAATCAATATCATCATGGCAGGGGGCGGCAGCGGCAGGACTGGCCTGGGGCCGATCCAAAGGCCTCGGGGGGGCGCATCCGGCCCCCGGGCCTTAGGTTGCCTACCCCTGCTAATGGGGCTGGGGTGTTAACTAGTGTTATAATAAGTGTAGTGTGCCAGATCAGCATTTCTTCTTGTTATAATGCTGCCCAGACTTTTTTCTCTACTTTAAATCCTGATTTTTCTTTTAAAAGTTCTTCTTTTTTAGTCATGTTTATAGT